CCAGGTTTGATTCCAGTCAAGGGCATGTACCTTGGTTATGGGCACATCCCCAGTGGGGGGTGTGCAGGAGGCAGCTGATCGATGTTTCTCTCTCATCGATGTTTCTAACTCTCTATCCCTCTCCCTTCCTCTCTGTAAAAAATCAATAAAATCTATTTTAAAAAAAAATGGGGCAAAGACCTTAACAGACACCTCACTAAAGAAAAAACACAGATGGCGAGGAAGCACATGAAAAGATGTTTACTATCACATATCATTAGAGAATTTCAAATTAAAAAATGAGATATCATTATGTACCAATTAGAATGGCCAACATCCAGAACACTGACACCACCAAATGCTGACAAGGATGTGGAACAAGAATTATCCTTCATTGCTGGTAGAAATGAAAATGGTGCGGCCACTTCAACAGTTTCTTACACTTAAACATACTCAACATATGGTCCAGGAATCCTGCCCCGTGGTATTTACCCACATGAACTGAAAACCATGTCCACAAAAAACCCTGCACCTGGATATGTATCCTAACTTTATTCATAATTACCCAACGTGGAAGCAACCAAGATGTCCCTCAATAGGTGAGCAGAGAAATAAAGTGTGGAGCATTCCGACAATGGAATACCACTCAGTACTAAAAAGAAATGACCCGTCACCCTGGCCAGTTTGGCTCCGTAGATAGAGCGTCAGCCTGTGGACTGAAGGGTCTAGGGTTCGATCTCGGTCAAGGGCACAGGCCTGGGTTGCGGGCTTGACCCCCAGTGTGGGGTGTGCAGGAGGCAGCCGATCAGTGATTCTCTCTCATCACTGATGTTTCTGTCTCTCTCTCCCTCTCCCTTCCTCTCTGAAGTCAATAAAAATATATTTAAAAAGAAAAGAAAGAAATGACCTATCAAGCCATGAAAACATATGGAGAAACCTTACATGCATACTACTAAGTGAAAGAAGCCAATTTGAAAAGACTACATGCTGTGTGGTTCCAACTGTATGACATTTCTGGAAAGATCCATGGTTATCAGGGGTTGGCAGGGAGGAAGGGACGAACAGGAGCACATAGGATTTTCAGTGAAACTATTCTGTGCAACACTACAAAGGTGGGTACATGCTGACACATGTGTCCAAACTCATGGAATGGACAGCGCAAAGAGAGACCGCTAACGTAGAGGGCGGGCTTGGGGGATGAGGATGTGCCGACTCAGGTTCCCCAGTTATAACAGCGCACCACTGTGCTGTGCGGCGGCTGTGCACGTGAGGACAGGGATGAGCGAGAACTCGATACTTTCAGCTCAATTTTGCTGTGAACCCGAAACTGCCCTAAAAAACAAAGTTCATTAATTTAAAAATATAGCCCCAGCCAGTCTGGCTCAGTGGATAGAGCGTCGGCCTGCGGACTGAAGGGTCCTGGGTTCAATTCCGGTCAAGGGCACAGGCCTGGGTTGCAGCTAGATCCCCAGTAGAGGGCATGCAGGAGGCAGTCAATCAATGCCTCTCTCTCGTCATTGATGTTTCTATCGCTCTCTCTCCCTCTCCCTTCCTCTCTGTAAATACACACACACACACACACACACTAGTGGCCCGGTGCTCGAAATTCATGCACGGTGAGGGGGGGGGTGTCCCTCAGCCCAGCCTGCACTCTCTCCAATCTGGGACCCCTTGGGGGATGTCCGACTGCCGGTTTAACAGTCAGACATCCCTCTTGCAATCTGGGACAGCTGGTCGGGACCCCTTGGGGGATGTCCGACTGCCGGTTTAACAGGCAGTCAGACATCCCTCTTGCAATCTGGGACAGCTGGTTCCTACCTGTTCCCCTGCCTGCCTGCCTGATCTCCCCTAACCACTCGGCCTGCCGGGCCTGATGCCCCTAACTTCTCCCTGCTGGTGACCTGATCACCCCTTAACTTCTCCCCCTGCTGACCTGATTGCCCCTAACCGCCTCTGCTTTGCCCCTGCCACCATGGCTTTGTCCGGAAGGATGTCCAGAAGATCTCCAATCTAATTAGCATATTAACCTTTTATTAGTATAGATTTACAACTGAGTAAAAATTTGCCCCACCACCATAGCTTTATCCGGAAGGTCTCCCAAAGGTCTCCCAGTCTAATTAGCATATTACCCTTGTATTAGTATAGACTAGAGGCCCCTATTGGGCAAATGTGCTTTCAAATACATGGAGGGACCTCCAGAGCCCTTCCTTCCTGGAAGCCTGGCCTCAGCCCCGACATCCCTGACTCACCAGGATGTTGTCCAGCGGCTTGGGAGGCAGGTCCACTTCAGCAATCCTTTCGTTCACCTGGTGGATGGAGCCCACAAGACACGCTAAGGAAAGTCTGCTAAGGAAACGCTGGGTGGCAGGGCGAGCTAGCCTGGCAAGGACACGGGCTCACTCCCTTCCTGTGCTGTCACTCCACTGAATTATCTTCTTTCCAAACATTCAACACGCCTTCTGTCTTGTGTTAAATTAGCTGCTTTATAAATGGTAAGTGATAATTCTATTCTAAATACCTTGGAAATATAGAAAGAATCGTCGCTGATGCTACCACCATAACAACTCTTGTTAGGATTTAGGGAGATTTCCTCCCAGGATTTTTTACACACAGCCTTTTGCACACAATTATAATCTCAGTGTATGTCTATTTTACTACTCTGACTTCTCTTCCACTCACTAATATGATCATTTTCCATAAAGCGGAATGATCTTCGCAATATTTTAAACGGCATTATACGAATCCGTGTAGAGGACGCACCTTAATACACTTAACTGTTTCTTGGTTATGGAATATTTAAGTTGTTTATCACTTTTGGCAATTATAAATAATTGCAAATTATACACATAGTCACACAAAGCTCTATTTCCATATTTTGGGTTATTCCTTTAGGAGAGATTTTAGGTTCCAGATGACTGGATCAAAGTGTATCTCAACCTGTTCATCACTGTTGAAATCTCTGCTCCGTCCAATGGCCCATCTTGCTGCCCTCGCTATGCCTGAATTTCTGTCTGAGCTTCAATTGGCCTAAGACAAATCCTCTGTAAAAGCCCCATAATCCTACCACTCCGCTCGCCACCTTCACATAAAGCAAGGTTCACGCTTTCTCCATTACCTTCAAGTGTTCTCACAGATTGGAGGATACTCGGCAAATGAAGATGCCAAGGGGGGCACGACCACTCCGATGGGTCAGTTAGGCTGAGATGAGTGTGGGATGAAGAAGAAAGAGGGAACGGTTAGAAATGGCCCAGGGAAGCGAGAGCCTGAGCAGGTCCTGGTGGGATCACAGGCTCATTTGAGGGGCTTTCTGAGAGGCGTGGGGAGAAGGGGACGCAGATGGGTGAGTGCCGTTGGGCCAGAGGCGTGGGGAGAAGGGGACGCAGATGGGTGAGTGCTGTTGGGCCCGGCGGCAGCAGCAGGACTTGAAGGGAAATGAGCTCCGTGTGAGATGAAAAGACCTGCAGTTATTTATAACCCGAGAGGGTCATTTGCTGGATGAACTCTAAGTCCTCCAGAGATGGGATTCTGTGGGTCCCTGGGATACAGCTCAGGGCCAGAAGGGAGATGAGGATGGACAAAGGCAGGACTAGAGAAGGAAGATGCCAGTAGAGCCAGGATGGTGCCAGAAGGGGCCAACGCTGAGCCCAGGCAAAAGGGCTGGCAGGTGAGCAGAGGTGAGGTCAGCTGGAGGAAAATAATGTTTTAAATCGGGTCTTAAGTTTACTTACCTGAGGCTCGAGGGCTGGGCACTGACGTTTTAGTTGCTATCTATAATTGTCATTTTTTTTGGAAGATAAAACGGAAAGGAGGAGGCAATGAAAAAAAAAAAAGCTTTTTTCTCTTCTCCCTGATTCTTTCAACAAATATTTCCAGTACTTCCTCCTTTTGCGCTCTTTCTGATGATCTCAGTAAAAAAAATCAAAGTCAAATAATCCTTCCCAGTCTCAAATTCTTTGAGAGGACAGGTAGAACGTAAGTAATGAAAAACGTAATGAATTTATAAGGAACGAGCTAACAAGGAACGCATGTTATGAACTTCGCACAGGCTGCACCCCTGGGGGGGGGGTATATTTGGTCTCGATTGTAAACGGCACCACAGAAGGATACAAGGTACATGGCCTTCCAGAGTCTTCCTTACGGCGTTCTGCGTCGCACTCGGTGGCAGGCCCTCCCCCACTGGCATCATTGGCAAGGCGGTGACATTGATGACAACCATATTCTTGAAATAAGCCATTGTCCAGTTTCTTGTCAACTGACAAATAGTGGCTTTCCACGGCTAACAGCCTGTCATTTCTCACTTCGATCTTGTTCGCTGTTCATCCAGCCTCCTGGAAATCACACACAGCACAGAACTGTCTTAGCAAACACGAGCCTGCTCCGCGGGCAGGCAGGGCTGCTGGAATAAAGGCTTTTGTCTGAGAAGCCCGTTGTCAAGTGAGGATTTCAAGGCATGTACACTTGGGCTTTCTATCTGGCTGATGCCCGCCCCCGGCCCCACTGAGAATTGTTGTTCAGTTGACCCTTGAACAATATGGGGATGAGGTAAGGGTACCCCCGTGCAGTCGAAAATCAACACACATCTTTTGACTCCTGAAGTTGACTACCGATAGCCTACTATGGACTGGAGGCCTTAGCACTGGCATAAACAGTGGGTTAACACATACTTTGTAGGTTCTATTTTTATATACTGTACTCTCACAACCAAGTAAGCTAGAGAAACGAAAATATTATTTAAAAATCATAAGGAAGAGAAGGCAAGCGAGTTTCCAAATCAGAAATGAAATCAAATCTTTCTTGCCTCTCTGAGCCTCCCCTGGAAACCTGAGCGGTGGGTGAGGTTTCTAAGACCCGTTTCCGCTCTCCGATGCTATGATTCTATGATGTGAGGGCATCTCCTCCGTGTGAGGGCCCTGATCTGCCCAAGGCTCTGCTCCTTCTCAAAAACTGGCCCCATCACTCCCCTTCCTCCTGGATATAAACGCTAGGGCCAGGTTGCTGTCCTGGGTCCCTGCTTTTTGCTCATCACTACTATCTGTGGGCCCTCCACGGCCGGAGCCTGGTGGTAGAAGCCTGGTTATAATGAAATAAAAGATCTGCCCTCAGGCAGCGCATACATAATGGAAGGAGAGAGAAAAGGTCAAGTTTGGTGGAAAACTTCACCAAGGTGCCCTTTCACCAGTCTCCTTTCCTCTCCTTCTGCTCATGCCTTCCGCTCCGCACTCTTCTCCCCAGCACTGTCCCATATGCCTGCCCCACTGAACTACTTTCTGGTCCCTTCCATGCTATGCTTTGTGCCTTTATGCCTTTACACCTGCTGTTCCCTCTATTCAAAGCTCAGCCCGGGTGATGCATCTTTTGGAAAACCTTCTCTTTTTTAAACCTTTATTATTGAAACTTTTACATATGTCCCCCTTTTCCCCCCTTGACCCCGTCCAGCTTGCCCCCCCACCCCCCCCCCCGGCCTTCACCTCCCTATCGGAAAGCCTTCTTGAATTATTCCAGGCAATTAGTACCACCTGTCCGCCCTGAAGCCCAGAATTCTGCTTACAGAACTTAAAATACTGAACTGGAATTATTTGCTTCTACAGCTTTCCCCATTAGGCAAATTACTCCGTAGAGATTATGTTCACTCAATATTTGTTTCCATTTTAGACTCACTCACCACACTTCTTTCTAGGCCAGAGAGGCTATCCATTTTGGGCTACCCAAAGCCAACTGGATTGTAGGAAGAGCTGGCCCAGGCCCTCCCTCCTGCTCCTAGCCTTGAGTTAAACAGGCGAGGGGGAGAGGGCAGAGGGGAGGCAGGTGCGTTGCAGGGCTTCTCACTTTGCTCCTACCCGCTCCCCAGCATGACGGGCAAACTACACCACGTTCTCTGACAGGCCAGGCTTAGGGCGACCCTGTCACAAAGCCTCTTGCTTTAGTTTAACATGATTACTCCTGCCTCACGGGAGAGCTGAATATTATGCTTTCTAAGAGAAATGTTTAAAATACATACTCTGTTCCCTGCGGAATGTTCATCGGGCCATTTCAGGAGAAGTATTCTCTGAAACATGGCACGTTTCTGTCGTCAGTACTAGAGGAGGCAAAAAGGACGTGCAGGGAACTAGCTTCACTGAATAACTGCCCTGTGCCCAGCCCTTTGTGGGGTCCCTCTGACATGCTAGGTCCTGGGGGTAGATGAGCGGAAGAATAAGAAACGGCTGCCCTCGTGGAGCACATATTCTGGCCGCCGAGACTGGACTGTGACCGTTTAAAGTTAACGTGCCTCGCCCTGGCCGAGTGGCTCCGTTGGCTGGAGCGTCTCCCGTACCCCGAAATGTTGTGGGACCAACTCCCAGTCAGAACTTGTGCATCCATGTTTCACTCTCACGTCGATGTTTCTCTCTCTCCCTCTCCCTTCCTCTCTCTCTAAAATCAATAAAAGCATGTCCTCAGGTGAGGATTAAAATATATATAATTAATAATAAAGTTAACATATTCTAACTTAAACAGGTTGACTTTTGTTCAGTTTAACCTTTGGTTGTTCAATGACTAGTGACGGAGTGCCAGCACTATATTCCTACTGCGGAGAGGATGGTGAGCTGGTCAGACTTGATCCCTGCCCTCATGGAGCTTATGTCTGATCAAACAATCATATTAAGTAACCGTGGATGATAACTCTGACCACTTCTTTGAAGGGAGGTTCCCAGTGCTATGAGATGACATAATAGTGGGCACTGACCTAGTCCACAGGCCAAGTGGAAAACTCCCTCTAAGCAGAGGGGAGAAAGAGGAGAAATGTAGGAAAAGGCTAGACCTGGGCATCACAGTAGCCACTAACCACAGGTGACAAGTCATCCCTTGGAATTTGGTTAATGTGAGTGAAGAACTAAACTTTTTATTTTGATTTTAAAATGAAGCAGCATAAATCTGAATATATTAATTATATGTAAAAATGAGAATATTTGAGACATTTGGAGTTAAATAAAATATTCAAATTAACATCATCTGATTTTTTGTTGTTATTTACTTTTTAAAACATGGCTACCAGAAAATTCTAAAGGACATATGTGGCCCACATGTTTCCATTGGGCAGTGCCGGGCTGGACCGTGCAGATTTGGGTTCCAGGACAATGCAGTGAGGTGTGGTTGGAGCCGGAGACCCATGGGTCCTGCCGGTGCACCCACTACGCACCCAGTAAACACCCCCTGAGTGACCCTGAGGTTGTTTCCTCATTTATCTAATAATAAATACACTGTTAGGCCCCCGGAGATCTAGCGTTGGCTCTCCAGTAGCTCTCTGCCCCTTGCTCCCTGGGAGGCCCTGAAGCGGCCCTGAGCCTCCGTTTCCCCTGCTGGTAGAACCCGATCAGATGGGGCGGGGCGGTTACCGTGCTTCGGTCCGTCTCACCAGAAGACCTGGGCGGAATCCGACGAACTCGGGGCGGGTTTCGTCCCGGGTCCCTCAGGGGACCCTGCGAGGTTCTGGGTGAGACAGTCGACCCCCGTGGCCCCCACATCCACCAGGAAGAGGTGCCCTTTGCTTTGTGGTCTTGGGGGGAGGAGGGAGAGGAGCTCCATTTTGCTACTGTGAGTCCTGGGGTTCTCCAGGCAACGCCCGGCGCAACCTCCACGTCCCCCAGCCCCACACAATGGAACTTTCGTGAGCCGCTGCCTGACGCGGTTACCATGGGGACGGCGCCCGCGGCCGGGGGAGACCAGACCAACGGGTCTGCGGGGAGGGCGAGTGTCGGTCCCGTCCCGTCCTGCATCGGGGGGACCTGTCAGTGACTCCAGGGGACAGTCTCTTTGCGGGGTCCCTCTGGCCCAGCGAGGGCAGCCCTCGTGCGTTCCTGGTGCTTCGCGAAGGCCTATCTGTATATATGTGTGTATAGATGTGTATATATGTATATGTATGTGTGTATATATATCTGTATATATGTGTGTATAGATGTGTATATATGTATATGTATGTGTGTATATATATCTGTATATATGTGTGTATAGATGTGTATATATGTATATGTATGTGTGTATATATATCTGTATATATGTGTGTATAGATGTGTATATATGTATATGTATGTGTGTATATATATCTGTATATATGTGTGTATAGATGTGTATATATGTATATGTATGTGTGTATATATATCTGTATATATGTGTGTATAGATGTGTATATATGTATATGTATGTGTGTATATATATCTGTATATATGTGTGTATAGATGTGTATATATGTATATGTATGTGTGTGTGTGTATATATATGTATATATTAAATTTATTTCAGGGAGAGGGAGAGCAAGAGGTAGAAACATGCCCGCCACCCACCGGGCAGGTGCCCTGACCGGGAATCGAAGGTGGCCTCCTGGTTCATGGATCAGCCCTCAACCACTGCGCCACACCGGCCGCGTGTGATCACCCCTTTGGGTTGGCTGTGAAGGGCGAGCAAGGGAACGTTTGTTCTCTACCGTCAGGAGCATCCACTAGCCCCGGCGGCCTTGTACCTGCGGGGCACGTACCTGCTTGGCTGGCTCTGAACTGGCGGGTGTGTGTGTGTGTGTGTGTGTGTGTGTGTGTGTATGTGGACACGGATCCCTTTGAGAACCCGATGAAAGCCAAAGACTCGCCATCTTGTTAGACTAAAATAAGGTAATGGACATTGTGGCCCTTTGCAAACTGTAAAGCTCTGCACAGTGATGAATGGTGGTCGGCACCAGCGCGGAGGAATAGGCCGGCTCTTGAAGCCCAGTCCGACCATCTTCCCACGGTGTGATGGGGGCAGGTTCCTCAGCTGCTTATATACAAGGCATCCAGCATTGCCCTGCTGGTTTGGCTCAGTGGATAGAGTGTCGGCCTGTGGACTAAATGGTCCCAGGTTCGGTTCCAGCCAAGGACACATGCCTGGGTTGTGGGCTCCATCCTCCCCCCCGCCCCCAGTAGGGGGTGGGCAGGAGGCAGCCAATCAATGATTCTCATCATTGATGTTTTTATCTCTTTATCCCTCTCCCTTCCTCTCTGAAATCAACAAAAATATTTTAAAAAGAGAAAAAAAGAAAGAAATCCAGCATTGGGCCCAGCCATAGTGGACCCGCAGGAAGCAATACAGTTAGTGTTTGTTACTGTGCCCTTTTCTTTTTTGAGTTAAAATCTTTCTTTCTGGATATTCCTGCTTCATTCTTGTTCTGCCCGCTACAGACATAAAATTAATTGCCCTCCCTCTTCCACCCGTTTTATTTTTTCTCCAGCAGAAGCCATGCCAGGGCCTTCCACGGGGTTTTGGATGACGTGGTAGCACAGCTTAAAACGCCCTCAGCATCTTGGTCCCCACTGCTGTCCGTCCACCACCAGCTGCAAGCGTTCTGGTTTGTCCAAGTCCTAAAGTGCCGTGCCCAGGCCCAAAGGCCTTCATTCCATAGCCTGTGTGTCTACAAACACACATCTACCAGTAAAACGCTCATGAGCACACACCCCTAAATATCTTTATTTTCATTTATTTAGAAATCATATATACATATACTCTGTATTGTATATTGTAAAACGTCCAAAGAAACTTTTATCATTAATTTTAATGATATTAATTTCTACATCACTGAAAACAGCAGTTTTTCTACATGGTTTTTATTGAAAAGATGTCTTGCTAATTGTGATGGATTTATACTCTGAGTTATTTATTTATTTAGTTAGTTAGTTAGTTAATCTTCACCCGAGGATATTTTTTACATTGATTTTTAGAGAGAGTAGAAGGGAGGGGGAGAGACAGAGAGAAAGAAGCATCAATATGAGAGAGGCACATTGATTGCTTGCCTCCAGCACATGCCCCAACCAGGTACGTGTGTTTGACCGGAATCGAACCTGGGACCCTTCAGTCTGTGGGCTGATGCTCTACCCACTGAGCCAAACCGGCTAGGGCTGAGTTGTTTTTTAATGATAGTTGATATAAAATCTTATTTCAAATAGTCTTGAAGTTCCCTTCTTTTTTGGTCTGCTTCTTGTCAGATATGATTACTGACAGTCCTCGGGTTACGTTGGACTCAACGTACGTCGTTTTGTGGTTACGTTGCCATCTCCCATTTATTAAAAAAAGAAAGTTCCGTCATGTCGACGTATGTACATATGTGCTTTATGGTTTTTATTATTTATTTACCACAAGTAAAAAAGGTCAGGAATTGTTATCTTTCTTTTAATTTTTTTTTACTGTTTCACTTCATTACTGCTGTGTATGTGCCCCATGTGAGTGACTAGGTGCTTATGTAGGTGGGTTCCGACGTAACCCGAGGACCTACTGTAGCTCATAAAGTGGTGAAAGAAGGTCTCAGACCAAAGACTAGGGGACGGGAGAGCTCTGCTACTTTCTTCTGCTCCCTTGTGCTTTCACTATTGTTATCGTCTGTCTACAGTTTCTTGGAATATTTTTAAGCTACTTGTGTGTTATGAGTTAAAACTGGGTAATGTATGGGAAGTAATGAACCTTGACCCCTGTCTCACACAATATACAAAGTTAATTCCAGATGATCATAGTCCTAAGTGTGAAAGTTAAACAATAAAAATTAATATATGAAAATGTCATTTTTGGAGTAGGCAAATTTTCTTAAATAGGAAACAGACACTAATCATTAAAAAAAAAACATGGTAAATTAAATTCCATTAAAATGAAGAACTTCTTTCATCAAAAAGAAACCAATAAGAAAACAAAAAGGCAACTTTCAGACTGGGAGAAGATATTTTCAGTATTCCCTATATACACAACAAAAGACTTGTATTCATCATATGTAAAGAACCCTTACAAATTAATAAAATAAAATAAAAAAGATAGACAACCCAAAAGAAAAAAGGCAAAAACTTGAATAAGCATGTCACAAAGAGGGTATCCAAATGTCCAGTTAGCATATGAAAAAGTGTTCGATTTAATTAGTTACTAGGGAAAAGCAAATGAAACGCAATGTAATACCACCACGTATCTTCCAGAATGACAAAATAACGATGGGAAGGCCCTGGCCAGGGTGGCTGATTTGGTCAGAGCATCATCCCACACACTGAAAGGTCGTGGGTTTGATTCCCTCGTCAGGGCACATACCTAGGTATGTGGGTTTGATCCCTGGTGGGCCGATTGATATTTCTCTATCTCTCTCCCTTCCCCTCTCTCTCTATTTTTTTAATTAAAAAAAAAAAAGGAGTCTATGCAGTAGCTGTTGCCTAGTGTGATTCTTACCAGTGTATGGGAATATGTTCCTTGCTCCCAGACTGTAAATCTGGTGATGTCAACTTGTGACAAAATTTAAGACCGGCAAGTTAGGCACTTGCCTGTGGGTAACGTAACCTGCAGAGCCACACACACCTGTGTTCAAAATCCGGCTCCAGCTCAGGACCTTAGTCTTTCTGAACCTGATCTGTCAAATGGGGAGAATGAGGGGAGCTAAGCAAAGGACTGGGAAACTTGAGATACTACATGCAGAGGTTTTAGCGTACTGCCGACCTGGCACGTAGCGAGCAATCAACACGCGGGAGCCGTTACCAGGACTGTGAGTAGCCACCTACGATGTACGTTTCCTGGTTTCAGGACAGTGACATAAAATCACGGACCCGGCTGTCTGTACCCGACTTGTGCTGACGGAGCGCTGACGGTGCCTCGTCAGGCCGAAGATGCCTCTCTTTGGGAATACGTTCAGTCCGAAGAAGACGCCCCCTCGGAAGTCTGCCTCTCTCTCCAACCTGCATAACGTGAGTGTCGGTCCTCGGGTCGGCCCGGTGTGCACGTGACAGGGTTGTCAGGTCTCTGTAGGGAAGTGGGGTTCTGCAGAGGCGTGCAAGTAGGAGAGCACCCTTTCACTCCTCTCGCTGTGGCTAAAATCAGTTTTAACTCCTACTTGCTCAAGAGCCTAATAAGCAGTCAACCTCGTGATGATTTCTGGCTCCAAATATTACCCAGTGTGACTTCACTTTAGTCCCAGGACGTGGCCAGGAATCGACTTAGTCGTGTCTAAGAATCAAATCATCCTGAAGGGATGTTTGCCCCCGTTCATGGCGTTCAGAAGGGTATGTCACCGCTCCCGCGCCGTTTCTGAGCTCCTCGAGGGCAGAGCGGTCACATGCTTCTCTGAGCACCCAGGACTGGTTCTGATGCGGGTGGGTGCTCAGTGCGTTGTAGAAACATCAGAAAAATACATTAAAAATCCATACATAGCTTTTTCAGAAAACATCCTGGTGTATAAAGCAGTATGTTTCTTATAGTTTAGATTTTTTTTGCACACTTACTTGATTGTCTGATTTTAAAAATATTAAATGTGCTGGGTGATGACTAGAGGAAAGAAGTGAGTTATTGGGGTCCTGTCGTTAGGAGAGGCGCTGGGCCTGGAGCCCGGGTGCCAGGGCCTTGTGAGCTAGCACGCAGCGTCTCCCCACAGCTGGATCGGTCCACCCGCGAAGTGGAGCTGGGCCTCGACTACGGAACCCCCACAATGAACCTGGCGGGACAAAGCCTGAAGTTTGAAAATGGCCATTGGGTAGCAGGTGGGCTGATTTCCTGCCATTTTGCCCAACAAGATGATGGAGGGGCTCCCCCCACCCCCTGGTAACGGCTGGTCTGTCTGCCCCCAGAGACCGGGATCAGTGGAGGTGTGGACCAGAGGGAGGCTCAGCGCCTCCGGAAGCGGAACCAGCAGTTGGAGGAAGAGAACAACCTCTTGCAGGTGAAGGTGGAGGTCCTGCTTGACATGGTGAGGACGGTGATGGGAAGGGCTGCCTGGGCTTGGCTTTGGCGGGAGGCTCCGCCCCTGGTCGGTCCATCCAGCTCGTACCTCTGAGTGCCCGCTGGTCCGGGAACATTGAATCCAAAGATACAAAGGCAAATCGGGCACAGTCCCTACCTTCAAGCACTCACGGGCAGCGGGAGGGGGCAGTAAGCACAATGCCCGTGCCTCGCAGTAGGGCCTGGGGTCAGCACGTGGTAGAGAGTGACTCTGTCGAGAGAGAAGGGCGCCCATAGGAAGGGATATTTGAGCTGAATGTGGAGCAATAAGAGGAGGGCGGGCGGGGCTGACGCAGTCCAGGGAGGACCGCCTGCTCCTGAGCTGGAGATGTCCCGCGCCACACGGGCATTCGCCAGTGCCTGGCCGCGCCTGCCCGCACGCACTCTGCATCGGCCTCCGTTTCCTGTGGCTGTTAAGAACCAGCAGCCTGCTGGGCCTGGAGGTACAGGTGAAGGCTGATTGAGAGGCAGGAGAGCGGGCACTGGAGTGGTTAGAGCCTGCGCTCTGGAGCTCAACATCCTGGCTCCTCGCCCAGCTCCATGCTGCTCGTGTGTCTTTAGGCAAATTACTCACCTGATCTGCGTGAAGAACTCCGTTTCTTCAGCCATAACATAGACATGATGGCGGGCTGCGCCCTGTGAAGTTAATAGTACAAGTGAAGTACTGGGAGCGTTAGTGGATTGCTCAGGAATGTAGCTCCTCTTTCACAGCAACTGACCTTTAGCGACGATGGCTCTGTCCCTGTCGGGAATATAAGTCCATTGAAAGATCCTGAGAGGAAAGTGGCGTTCTTTTTTAAGCATCATTATGGGAGCTGCAGCTCAGAAGCAACCAATCCTTTAGCTTAGAATTACCAGTATCTGCCGTCTTCTCTTCTCTTTTTTTTCAAATGATAAGAGCAAGTTTATTTAGACATTTACGGAGGTAGAAGTGAGCCGGCTGGGCTGTGTGGGCTCAGGAAACAAGTGACAGAAGCAAAGGAAGGGCCCTGGGAGCTTGGGAGAGGGAAAGGCAGAGGCAATGCTCCGGAGGAAAGAGGGGCGGCGGGAGGGCAGCGTGCTCCCAGCCTTCTGTTCCCTGAGGCCTGCTGTCCTGAACAAGGTCAATGCCAGGCGATCCTAGTGATCAAACCGTTGATAGAGTGGATTGTGAATGCTCTTAAGTACTTGAGGTGGTTACGTTCTGCCCAGTCACAAAGGGGTTCCTTCCCGGAGGCTGGCAGGCCGCGGTAGAGAAACGCCAAGCGCCTTTACCCGTGGGCAGGGCCAGCCTCGCAGACCTGAACGCAGCCCACAATGTCCTCCTCTCTAACAGCCCGCTGCTTTCCTTCCAGTTCTCTGAGACCACTGCCGAGTTCCAAATAATGAAGAGGGAACTGGAAGAGCTGAAGAGTGTCAACCGGAGAAGGAAATGAAGACCTCGAGAAGAGGGAGAACTGATCTGAGGAGTGGAATATAGCGGAGGTTCTTAAGCTGAATTGGTAGATTAGGCCCTTGGTGAGAGGACCCCAAATGGGGCCAAAGGCACTGGCACCCTTGAGCTGGCAATGGAAAGGTGATGACATCCTGGAGGCAAGCAGGGTTCCAGGCCAGGGCAGCACATAGCAATGTCCTCTGGCTGCCCAGCTCAGCGAGGCCAGGCTGTGAACGAGGCCTCTGAGGTCTGGAGCGATGCTAAGACTCTGGGTGCTCTCCAGGCACTTAACATATAAATGCACTTGTCCCAGCTTCACTCTCATTGGACGGACTCTCTTGGGAGAAGCAGCGGGAGTTATCAGAGCATCCCCCACAGTGGTGTTCGGGGCGTGGCCCCAGTTCTAAAGAGGCTGACCTCCGCCCTTCAGGCCCCCTCTGTGTGCTTTAAAGAGTGTTTGTTCCCCAAATCCACCTCCTCTGGCTTCAGTTTCTCGGCAGCATCACCAGTCTTCTATGCAACACTATATTTTTTGCTACTTCCTTGTTTATACTACTTTTCCCCCTTTTTTTCAATAAAGATTTAAAAAATAAAAACAAAGTGTCCTTTTAAAAAATATATTTTATTGTCCAGACAGTACGGCTTAGTGATTGAGCGTCGATCCAGCAACCAAGAGGGTTGAGTTTCGATTCCTGGTCAGGGCACACGCCCGGGTTTCAGGCTCGATCCCCAGTGGGGGCATGCAGGAGGCAGCCGATTGATGATGTTTCTCTCATCAGCGTTTTTCTCTCTCTCCCTCTCCTTTCCTTTCTCTAATCATCAATAAAAAAGTAAAATATATTTTTATTGATTTCAGAGAGAGGAAGGGAGAGAGAAACATCAATGAGAGAATCATTGATTGGCTGCCTCTTGCATGCCCGCTACTGGGGATCGAGCTTGAAACTCAGACATGGGTATTGAACTCTGACCTCCTAGTTCATGGCTCAGTGATCAACCCCTGAGCCACATACTTCTTTAAATTAAATGATGTTACACAATCTCCGTGACCAGAGTGAAAAAAAGAAGCATCAATTCTTGGAGAAGTGGAACCTGGAGTCTGAGCTGTTCCATCAGAGGTAGGATTTTCAGGCTGTGGGAAATGTCCCCGCTGCAGGGGAAGCACTCCAGCGTCTGGGGCCTTGGCAGAGGCTGCCCTGGGACAGACACTGGCTGTCTTCCCCAGTTCCCTGCTCTCCGGGGAGCTGGGACTATCCTGGTTCTGGCAGGGACCTGGGCTGGCTTCCTGGAGGGGGAGTTTGGTGCCTGAGTCTGAGCTGAGCTGCTCTGGCTGGAGGAAGGAGGCGGCCAGTCAGTCAGAGGCATTCAGCTGCCAAAGAGGGAGGGCACTGCGGGTGGAGACAGCGCCCAGGGATGGCGACCATGGGCAGCAGGTACATGGGGGAGGGGGCGGGTCCTTGCACACATTCTCACTTCCTCCTCAGCTCAGTCCTGTGGAGCACAGACTGTCAGCATGCCTATTTGCAGACAAGGAACCAGACTCCAGGAGTTTCAGAACCTGGGCTAGGATCATAGACTCCCAGCCACAGGGGAGGAGGAGCGAGGTAGGGGACGGCCCTAGCGGCTGCTGTTTGTAGTCCATCCTACTGCCCACTCGATGGGGGATGGGTAGAAGCTCCAGCCCGTAGGATACAAATATACACAGGGCATAAGTCTCCAGGTGCGGGCAATGGGGCAATGGAGTTTGCTTGTTCCTAGGCCACTGTGGTTAGCAAACATTAAAAGAGCACCCTTGATGCCAGGTACCTATTTCTAATTCTCACGAGAATTCGTCCATCGTATCATCCCCTGCTTTTAGCTGCAGAAAGCATCCCAGAAGGTGACAGCTGGAAGGGATAGAGCCGGGACTAAACCTTGGGAATCATGAGAGCGGATTTGGTTGTCACAATGATGTGGGTCCCCCTGCTCACCACCACGGGCACCTGACCCGCCGGAGCCGGAATGTGGGACAACTGCAGGGAAGAAAGACTTGGGAGCGATCATGGAGGCAAACCGTCGGTGAGTGTCGTATCATCCCCTGCTTTTAGCTGCAGAAAGCATCCCGTCAGTGAGTTTGAACAGAGGAATGCTGTGATCAACTTGGTTTCCAAAGGCTCCCTCTGGCTCCTATGGTGAGAACAGACTGCAGGGGGCAAGGCTGGGACCAGGGAAGTGGCAGGAGAGGGAGTGAGTGGGCAGACTCTAGACATGCATTGAAGGTGGAACCCCCTGATGGGTTGTGGGGTGTGAGCTGAGTCAAAAATAATCCTATTGACGAAAGTCCCTTAAGTGAAAGGGAGGGAAAGTTACCCATCCCCCCCCCACCCCCCCCCCCCCCCCCCCCCATGGAGATGCTATATACTTTCAAGGTCTTACCTTTTTAGGCAGACACATTCTTCAGGTTCTGGCTAAAATTCTTCCTCCTCAAAGCCTGTATTAACCAAATCTACTGCTCACGGGGCACCTGAGTAAAGAGTGCTATCCAGGAGACATTTATTATCTCTTGTAATCACTACAACAATTTCATGACTTTCTGTGCCGAGTGTCAGATTAGGGAAGAATTGTTACGGAAGAGCTGAGGTAGGAAGTCCTGGTGGTGTGAGGGGAGTGAGTGCAGGATCAGAGGCAATAGTCAGGGAGTTTTACAGTTTGAGGCCTAGCAAGGGGTCCATATGCAGAACTATCCGGATAAGAGCTAGTGTGTGTTTCTATTGGGTGGGGGGTGGGGGACTTCTATCTTTTCTGAGATTCTCAAAGGGATCTCTGCCCTCCACCAATCCAAATTAAGAGCTATTTCACCCGTTTCAAATTTAACAGGACAGAAACAGGGATGGTGGAAATCGTGGATTTGAGGGATAGGGAATGAGAAGAGCTCAGGGGTGGGGTTTTAGAACACCCCATCTTCATCCAAAGGCAGTCCCCTGTGCACCAGGCACGGGCCATCATCGCTCACTTGGTTGTACCCTAAATTGCGTGACCTGGCGTCAGTCCACACGTCTTCTTTGCTGCCATTGAGCATTTCTCCGTCAAACCCTCCGTAGCCACCCTCCCCTGGTTCTCCTCCTCTCCAGCAGCTCCTTGAACCCCCTGGTGTGGGGGAAGAGCCCCCCCCCCCCACGCCTTTAAAAAAATCTTTATAGGTATGACTACGCTTTTAATTAAACGTTTTATTATGGAAAAATACACAACATAAAATTTACCATCTTAACCATTTTCATGTACACAACTCAGTGGTATTAAGTACCTGTATGATGTGCCACCGTCATCGCTATCCATCTCCAGAAAACTTCTCATCTTGTAAAACTGAAACTCTCGCCCTGACCGGTTTGGCTCAGTGGATAGAGCGTCGGCTTTTTTTTTTTTTTTTTTGAGAGAGAGAGAGAGAAGAGAGAAACATCTCCTGCAGGCCCCCTACTGGAGGTTGAGTCTGAAACCCAGGCATATGTCTCCTCCAAGAATCTGGGAGTTAAGCCAGGGACGTCTGGGTGCATGGGACGATGCCCTCCCCTTGAGCCACACTGGCTCTGCGACCTTTAAATGTCTCATTGCACAGGGATCTGCCCTCTGTCTTCTCTTCCCATTCTGCCTTTTCTAGATCATCTCATCTACTCCCGAGGTTTTGAATACTCTGCACTGCCTGATTTTTCTTTTCTCCTTATCCCATGGCAATTTGTTAGTTGTTGAAAGAGCTCTTTAGCCTCAAACATAGGATTTTTAAAAAATCATGTGTTGCTCTTGTGAATACTATACACAAATTTAATTGGTTAAAGTTTTCTTAAAACTTCTTCACATTAGCATTGTGACTTTCTACTTGAAGTCCTGACGTCTGTACTTTCCACATAAGATTGCCTTTGCTATGTTGGTCTTCCAACATTTCATAAAAGAGCCCGTAAAAGAATCAAAAGCCATTGGCACTGGGTTCTTGAGCTGCCCTTGCATTGATGTAGATCAAGCATGTCAAACTCCGGGCCTGGGGGCCACATGCTAAAGGAGGCACGCCGCCCCGCCGACCGCGAGTTTGACATGCTTGATGTAGATCTAGCTGACTTAAAAAAATAAAAAGGTTAACATGCAAAAAAATAATTCATAAGTGTACAGCCTGATGAATTATCCAAGATGAACACACCCATATAACACCACCCAGGGCAAGAACTTCACCAGCAGCCCCCCAAACGTTACTCTCCCGCCCCTTCCCAAGTACTAACCCCTTCTCCTCAAAGGGATCACTGTCCTTCTCACCATTGATAGATTTTGCCTGTTTTTGAACTTTATATAACAGAATCATCCAGTAGGCACCCTTTGTGACATGAAAACTTTTTGTAATCAGAGCTGCCCAGCCCATAGATGAATGAAACTGAGGGCCGAATCTGGAGGAAGTGCAAGCCCTCCTACCCCCGAATGGGTAAGTGCAGATAAGGATTTGGATGGTGCAGTCCTGAGATGCTCCCATTCCACGGTCCATTGGCTAAAGATGTATATCAAATTATCCTTGTATATAATAACTTGTGGGACACATTATAAAAAGAAGCGTTTTCATCTATCATATAGGCAACATATTAAAATATGGCGAACACCTAATTCTGGGGAGGGTGTGGGGAAAAGGACACTTCATTCACTATTGTGAAACTATATACTTTCAAGGGCAATGAGCTAATACCTGGCAAAATTTTAAATGGTCATACTTTTCGGTAGCAAATCCACTTCCAGAAATCTATCCTCCAAAAATACAGTAACCCTGTACTGTGCCTCAATTTCTTCATTTCTAAGATAAGGATAATAGTACCTCAACATACACACAGTGCCCGCTCCGGAAGCGATAACTCTTGCCTTTGTTTTCGTATACTGGGTCTGTTTATTTGATGTTTTCCCAAAAGACCAATTAACCTTCAAATCTCTAACTTATTCCTACCAAACAGCACACCACTCAGGTAAATGAAACTAGATGAGTGTTTCTCTAAGGGCGATCCCTGGGCAGCTTGTTAAACTGCAGGTTTCTGAGCCCACGCGGAACCCTCTGAACAGAATTCCTGCGGAAGGACCCAGACTTGAGCAAATCCCCGGGGTTTTATTTCCCTGGAATCTCAGCCCCGTCCGACTGGGCTGAAGGCGGTGACGAGTGCCGGCCAGAGGGCGGCGCTGTGGCCCCGCCCTCCTGATTCCAGCTCCCGGAAGGGCAGCTCTATGCTCGGCGCGACATTCGCCTCCTCTCTTCCGGTTCCGGTGTCCCTCCCTTCCTCCCTCCCCCCCTGCAGACATGGCTGCCATCGTCGCTGCCCCCGGTCCCGGTGCTCCCCTGCCCCCGGACGAAATGCTTCCGAAAGGCGATACGGAGAAGACGGAGGAGGAGCTGGAAGAGGATGACGACGACGAGGTACTGGGGCCCAGCGGGCGAGGCGGGGAGCGGGGGTC